ATTTATACTCTGCTCATTGCATAACAAAAGTCTTTGCAGATATAAATGCAACAAAGTCAAATGTTGGCTTAATCAGAATGGAAACTGCCCTAAAAACAGAGGCTTCATTTAAAAAAAATCACCACATACCCTTTCACAAGGTTTCATTTATTACCTTACTCCCTGATCACAGATGGTATTTTTGAGAGGCCTCTTGGAAGTTAAAGTTGAAACATTATTTTTCACCGTAACAAAATTATGCAAATCTCCCATATTAAATATCGAGTAAACACAATTTGGCTTTCTTTGGGGAAAAATAACCAACTTTTTTTTTAATTTACAAGGCTATCTTTTTGTATTAACAAGATTGTGTATGGCTCTTGTTTTAAGCAGCTTCAATTGTTTTTTTTTTGGAAAGAGGTGAAGTATAAATACATTCAATAAATAAAATGATGTGTCAGGTTTAGCTTGCCCTCCAATTTTCCTGCATAGGAAAAATTGTTCAAATTGTTCAAAAGTAATAAAGTATCAAGTGATTATCAATGATGGCTTTTCTATTTTAGATACATGATCACACATAATTGTCTATTGTATTTAGAAGGGAAACCCTGGGCTGCATATCATATTCCCTAATCAACTGTTGGCTTCCTGAAGCCCAAGTAACTTAACTCCTGAGGGTACCTATTCTGTTTTCACTTGAGACGAGCTAGAACATGATGTATAGATCTAGTTTGTGTGGCATATTCCAACCCAGTGCTTTAAGGAAAAATACTCTGTGGGCAGAAATTGATATTGATTTATTTGAATAATAATACCAAGCTCCCTAGATTAATGACATAAAAGTTATTTTATATTCCTGGATAGAAACATGTCAAATTAAGGAATGATAAATTCTTGGCAAGCATGCTGTCACTTTCCTTACTACACCCACAGCAGACATTACTAATCAACTCTGCCATTCTTTTCCTGTGTTGAGACTTGGCTTGAAGAGGATTTGAACTACTGTTTCAATAGAGTGTAGTTCACATGCAAGATGAATCTTATTTGCTTGCATTTTGAAGCAGGTAAAATACAGCACAGGGCCTATGGAATGTTGTGAGTAGGTCTATCTCAACACTGCCTGGATTCTAAATAAAGAGTAAAACTGGGTTTTTTGAATCGTAAATTTTCAAAGAACATAGAGAATGGAGGATCTTTGGGTTATGCTGTGTTTTCTGCTCCATTTTTTAGGAGAAAATGGGCCTTCTGTTCCTATGTTGGTGCTGAGGGGGTGTTAAGGGCATGCCAAGCATGAGGGGTTCCAATGGCCTACCCCTTGTTTCAACCACTGTATAAGTATATACAGTAAAATCATTTCACAGAAGCCTTTTTTTTTCTTAGAAAAAATGCTAACGATGGTGTAGCAGAAAATCCAGAAGCACTGGAAGCTGCCCCAGTGATTAAATCTCAGTAAGTACTATGGGACTATTGGCTTTCCATATGGAAAAAAGTAAAATTCCTCTTCTAATTTATCTCCATATGAAAAGCCAGCAGACCCACAGCACTTACTAAACAGCCCACCCTTCCCCACTGATGTCTCAGGCCCTCCTCTTTTATTTCCCAGGGCCCTCTGTGCATCCATTTTTGGGTCCCCTATCCCAGTCCAGTATCTACTTGTTTATCCCCATGACAATGCACACTATCTTAATGACTGCAACTTTATAAGTTAGCTATCTGTTCCTGGCAAGTTTGCCCAACCTTTCCAGAATTGTCCCTTTTCAGAATTGTCCTGGCTAATTTGGAGCTTTTGTTCTTCCATAGAGAGTTTAGAATCAGTTTGTCAAGTTTTGTGAATAATCCTGTTGGTGTTTTGATTGGATTTCCTTTGAATTTACAGATTAGGAGATAATTTACATTTTTATATTGAGACTTTTTGTGCATGAACATGATATATCTGGTCAGTCAGATCTACTGGTAGGTCTTTCAACAATGCTTTCTTCTGAAAATCTCAAGGGTTAGGATGATCTTAACTATAGGTGAGTTACTTGTTTAATGATACCCTGAGCTGTTTAAGCCAGACTGTCTGTGGCTTGGGAATTTTCAGCTGCATTCCATGCTGTTCCCACATGGGAGTGCTCTCCTCACTGTCTCCCACAGTGGGATTAAGTTCCAGCTGTTCACAGTATTGACTTGCTTGAAAATGTACCTTTTTGCTTTCCCTTCAGTGGCTCACTTCCTCACTTTCTTACATTTCCTGTGATTGCTTCCTAATAAACAACGTATACTTTCATCCTTGCTTCTTGGGAAGGCTTGACAAGTATTAAGTAGATTTCCATGCTGAATGTAATAAACTCTAATTATTAGAACCAAAAAGTAAAAACACTCCACCCCTGGTAACCTCCAAGTAGGGTCATTTGGGGGATGAACATGGCCTTTGGGCCTGATGGATACTTGAATTCCAACTTCCCAATTTTTTTCACTGTATGGCCTTGATAAACCTCTGTCTTCCACCTACATGAAAATAGTAATTTAAGCCTCATAGTATCATTCTAATTATTAAATGACATGTTAACTCTTAGATTCATTCAACAAATATTCATTTCTCTGGGCATAACTTATGTAAGGAACCTAATTAAGTAACTGACACAGACTGTTATACAATAAATGGAAACTATGGGTATTACTGTACACTGACAAATGAGCCGCAGAACAAATCTTGGAAAGCTTGTGACAAACAATGATATTTAGTGGCAGGGACATGCACTTGTCGTAGGTGTTGTGCACCAGGGCTCCTTGTAACTCTGTATCATGGGATGAGCCACTGAAAGCAGACAGACCCCGGTTCAAATACCCAGTGTATTACCTGAATGTCCTTGTTAACTTCTCTGGGACTATCTGTGACATGGTAATAATGGTCCGACATAAAGGACTGTGATGAGGAGCCAATGAGATAATGGACAGGAAGGCCAGGCCCTCAGCCATGTTACTTTTCTTAATCTCCTTTCTCAAGGTCTCCTGGTTGCTGCCTACCAAGTACATTGCATCACTTTCTCCTGACATGATAACATGCCACATCCAAAGGTACCTAGACAGGTCTGATCAGTGGACTCTGTTCTGTTCTAGTCTCTAGCATTGACAGTAGTTAAAAGAGAATAGTGCTTTTTATACATTTAATATGGGCAACTAACAGGACGCTGCTATCCATTATCTAACATGTTTTCTAGAATGTAGCTTCAGAGAAAACATACCGAGGCCAAGTTTGAAGGCAGGGGGAATGTAACAATTCTGTTCAGTCTTTATAAGCAATCTTCAGAAGAGGACAATTAAGTGTGGAAGAAAGAGCATGGGTTTTGGAGTCAGATGGACTTGATTTTAATTTCATTTCTGCTATTTTTAGTTACATATGATGTTGGGAAGAGTACTTCATATCTAACTTTATTCCTTCAGTAAAATGCTGAAACAATCCCATTTTGCAGTGTTATTAGTAAGATTAAATCAGGTAATTAGGAAAAAATGTGTGTACAAAATGCCCAGTTTACTGCCTGATACTTAGTCAATACTCAGTAGTAAACAGTAATAAATGCTATTATGCAGCTTGTGTGTAACTGAAATATTTACTTTAGCATTTTCTTACCTAAGGTTGCTAGTCTAAGGTATGGAATATTTGTGGGAAATTTAGATCTTACTTTCAATACCTGTGGTGCTCAACTTTTATACATTTCACTTTCAAATGACCTGCATTTCTGCATATTATATCTTAAAATCCCTAAATTTCCTTTCCTGTACCAAATTAAACTTGTACCTTATCTTACCAAAGAGCCATGTCAAGTTTTCTTTATATAATGCTGCCTGCCAATAAGTTTCAGAAGCAATGCCATCATTGTCTGCAAAGCAGCATTTATTTGTCAATTATCTGAGTAATTTATTGATTTTCTCTTATTTTATAAACATGAATGGAAATTGGAAAAATGATAGATATGATTCTAATGATAAGTACAGATTTAAGAAAGAAACCATTCTAGATGCTGAAAGCAGCAGATCTTTGACCTTGGTTTGCTGTTCTATCCACTTAAGCTGGTTAACTGTGTGTCCTAAGGTGAAGGAAATTAAACAGAACTCTGGAATGACTGATTGACGCTAGAAGGTTGTGCCTAAAAGGGAAAAAGTAAGTAGGGATTTTATAATATTCTTTAAGTTCTCTGAATGGAAGCTCCCTTATAACATGTATGACTATGGTTTAACATTCATGTAGTAGACTTTAGCATAATTTTTAGTGATGTATTGCATACATCGATAGGAAACTGCTTACATTTCTAAAAAGTCGAATTGAAAACGGGAAGCTTCCGTATGGAATTGTAACAACTCAGGTGGTTACACTGATCATGTCAACTAAAAGTTCTGATTGGCAATTTCCCATTTTGATTCATAAAAATTGCAACATTTATTATTAATTAACTATTTCTTTAGTAGGCTAACTCTTCAAAGCATGAGCTCCACCAGGGAAAACATGCAAAGGGGGTTCATAAAGAAAGTAATAAGAAAAGGTTGGAAACCAAATGGGTCCAACAAACATAGCTGGGCAACTTTGTAACTTGAGCTGCAGTCATTAACTTGAGCTACGAAGAGAGGTCGGGGCTGACTGAAGTTATATCGTCTCTGTAGACTGAAGTTATTATGTCTCTGTAGGAAATTGACCACTTTGAGATTGGTTTCTTGGAGGCAGAACAGATAAAAAGTCTTAGTTCAGTGCTCACTGAAGCCTCTGCCCATGATGCTATGAATAAAGCAGATTTGCTCCAAATGCACAAATTAGGAAGCAGACCCCTATCTGGGTAGCCTATTTATATTTCCAATGCAGCTTGGAGTCACCGTGCAGATACTACTGATTTTTCTCCTCATCTCGTGGTGGAGTGGTGTGGAATATAGAAGGGAACATTGATTACAGGTGCCTCTTCTTGGGCGAATAATACATTCTTCTATAAGGCGATGCTATCTTGACAGGTAGGACCATTTTAACCTGATTCTGCTTTTTTCTCTCTGACCTTTTCGTAGGTTGATGCTGCCTGTCTTCTCTGTCAACAAATTGCAACACAGCTCTCCTATTAAAAGAATCCATAAAACATGACTTAGTGCTGTAGCAAAACTACAAAAAACAATTACTAGCGCAGCTCCTGTATGTTTGTATTGAAATTTTAGAATAAAAGTGGGATTCTCCAGTTTCCTTAGAGAATTACTTTTCTCTTGCTACTGTCTCTTAGCCCCCACTTCCATGTAGTGTTCATTTTAATGACATAATTAAAAGGGACTAGAATGTGTTCTCCTTTAAAACACTGTAAATAAAATTATCTCTTGTATACAGATAAAATATTACTTTAAGTGCTTGCTATAAGATTTAAAATGTTACTGATAAAATTTGAGAATCACAATAGAGTCACAGTCCATGTGGGATTTAGGTTTTAAAATTGACGTGTGAGGCAAAAATTGCCAGTTATCAAAATTACCAGCGAAAATTCATTAAATTATCCATAGCACACTACGGAACCATTTTTCAATAAATCCAAAACAGCCAGTGTGGCAAGAAAGATCACTGTTGAGCACCAACTAAAATGTTATCTTGGGTTTAGGTGCCATGATGTTAAAAAAAAAAAAAAAAAGACTTTAGATACTAGAATTGCTCTCTATTTGGTGAGACCTTCACTCCATGAGGGTCATGAAGTGCATGGAACGAATGACCTGAGGAACTGGTAAATTCAGGCCTCCGGATGACTTTTGTGCCTGGCAAACAATCATTGCATGAGAAAGTGGGCAACATTTCTCACATGATTTAACTCTGATTTTTCTTTTGCTTTTTGCTGAATGTTATACAGTTAAATTTGTAGATTGCAAAAACAAAAAAAACTGGACCACTGAATAGTAGAATTTAAAATACAGAGAGTGATTTTTGGAGCTATACTCAGCAAATTTCAAGAGGCTACAGACAAGTAAAGCAATCAGCAAATGTTTGGTGATTCAAATATTCAATACTATCAAAAGCCTTTTTGGGAAAACATATATTGAAATTGGAAAAATCTTAGTTAGACTAAGGAAGTATACTGAAATTTTAATGGAAAAAACATTGGCGAGCTGATGGATCCTTCTCTAAGTAACACCTTCCCCAAAGCAAAGCCATGGTTTAAATTGTCTGTTACTGAGGGGTAAATTGGGACAGGATTCCAACGGCCAGGTTGAGAATCCTAGGAAGCCTGATCTCTTTACTCTTACTCCCTGCCAGTACTCTTGTTAGAACTACAGATCTAGCATTCTGCTAAGGTCCTCAGGTCCAGTGAAATTCAGCCCTCCCCTGCTGGCTGCATGTAGTCTGCTTGGATTCATGATATGACTCAGCATCCAATTCCAGCTATAAAATCCAAGAAACATAAAGATGAGTGGTAACATCACTCACTCATTCAACTTTCTCATGACCTGGTATTGAGAAAGCCTCTCAGAGCTGAGCAAATTAGGCTGATGGGGCTGATAGGCTGAGGCTTGGGAACTGTCATGATGCAATAACTTTGAGGCATTGCGAGGGTTTACTCTGGGCATGTGACTTTGGGTACCAGGCACACAGGGAAGGAGGCTGAGAAATATTGAAAAAGATACCAACCCAAGAATAATGATTAAAGGTGGTCTCTCCTCCATTTGGGGCAAATGTTGCAGAAGAAAGTATTCCCTTAGAGTTACTCTGCTGTGTCTTCACCTTGTTGCCTCAACTGGAATATGAGCTCCTTAGGGCACAGGTACTGTCTGTATTCACATATCTTCACCTTGCATACCTAGCAGAGTGTCTGACAATTGGTACATGCTTGATGCACATTTTAAAAATTAGTATGTTGAATTTTATAGGTTATGAGTAGAGAAGGAAAGCCAAGCATGCATGCAGCATTTTAAGGCACCACTCCCTTCCTGCCACACTGCCCCATTCTATGTGTGCCACTCGGAATTTCCCTCCCAACAGCATCTCAGCCACCCTTCCTGCTTTCTTAGCAACCATCTCCAGCTTATCTCTGATAGTTCATAACGGTCTATGGCTCAACTCTGAGGCCAACTGACTTCTCCACCATAATACAGTGAAGTTTCATTGAACTGAAAATATATTCAAAGGCACAGAATTACAGAACATGATAATTATATAGGTTTTAAGTTTCAATAAAAAACATAACATTCTTCAAATACCCCTCAATGTAATTGGAGATTAAAACTGTAAATACAGATTTAAGATGTATATACGTATATATAATTTTAATAAATGCAGCCCTTTAAACATTCTTCCTGAGTTGGTTCTCATGGTGAGAAGGTGGCTCTCAACCATCTGAATCTCCTCTTAACTATAAACAATCAGTCTATCTACCTGAAAGCTTTGTGAGGTATATGTTGAGTTTTAGGTAAGCCAGTCCCATTTCTGGCTTCCAAATCACACCAAACCTTCGACTCTTTGTTCAACTATACATTGTCCAGCTATACTATGGGGTATATGACCTTGGCCTCAGATCAGAATGTTCCCCTATTTTCCTACAGTCTTGGTCCCTCGCACAAGTATGAGATCCTCTTTTTTCCTGTCTTTGGGTGGTTGAGTGCCCAAATGGTGACATGAACTCATTGTGTGACCCCTTCCAATTGATTTGGATATTCTTATTGGCCCTCAACCTCTTTGTTCAAGCTTTGCTTCTTGTTTGCCTAATTCCCATTGTGACAAAGTATTTGGCTAAGAACACGGCCTCATTCACTGGACATCTGGCATTCGCATCCTGTCCTAGCTTACTGACCTCTTAGCTTTGAAACTTTGCTGTCTTATAGTCTTTCTCATCACTTAGATTCTGGAAGATGGTCATTTTAATCTGCTCCATCTGATGCTGACATGACAGAAATTAGGGAAAAAAAGATACAATGGAAAAAGTTAAACTGGTTACCATCCACCAAATTTGCATTAGGTCTGGTTGCAGAACTCCCAAGATGGGGTCATAATGATTATCAATTACATTAGCACTTTCAATTGCGTAGCTTCTTTCAGTCATCATTATTTGAGATTTTTCAACCATATAAGTTGCATGTAGTTATAGATTGTAAATTCTCATTGCTGTATACTATTTCACAGCATGAATATACTACAATGCATTTCTGTTGGGTATATACATCAGAATAGAACTGCTAAGTTATAAGGTATGCATATGTTCATTTTTAGGAGATAACGCCAGTTTTCCAAAGTGTTTGTACCAAATGTCTCATCTACCAGCAGTGTATGAGAATGACAGTTGCTCTACCTCCTTACCAGCACTTGCTATTTTCTGTCTCTTGTAGGAGTCATTTGGTGGATGTCATTTTATTATCTCTTATTTTGATCCAGATATCTGAAGTATATGATATAAGTTCCTTGGAGGTACTTTAAACTGGTGTCTATTCATGATCTGGGCAGCTAACTTTTACAGTGTCTTTTATGTAGTATTGAATCTCTCTCTTGGTCTGTCTCTCCTTTTAAAAAACAAGATGCTTCATAAATCAGGAATAAAGTTACTTTAGCCACTTTAAAGTTACTTTATTTTAGCCTTTAAATTAACACGAAGACACAATAATCTGGTACTTCTTTTTGAAATTAACTCTGAAATAATAAATAGTCTTATTGTTAACCATACTCTAACTCTGAGTCTTCAAAGAGCACCAGCAAAATGGTCTGTACCAACAAATGGTTCTATAACTTCTGTAACAGCCATTGATGAAAAGCAGTAATAGCTGACCTTAAAACAACCTCTTTGTGTACAACCTCTTTGGTGCCTTGAAACCCACTTTAATCCCACTGGAGGATAAAGACTACTGTATCCTATATGCACAATGATCCCTGGTTCCATGTATGAAATCATGGACACAAATAAGAGAAATATAGGATATATATTCACTATCTTCATGAGTCTTTCAGAATTGGGAAAACATGATTAATCCACATGTAAAAATTAGAAGATAATAAAAATGACTATGCAATCAACTGTTAAATAAGATGCTCTAATTATAATTGCTGGAGTCATTAATGTCATACTGTACTGTAAATTTTTTTAATTATAAAATTTTGTTTAATTGTTTCGCACACTAGGCATAAGTTGCATGAAGACAGGGACTACATCTATCTCCTTTAGCTGTATTCTCTGTGTAGCACTGTATTCTCAGTGCTAGTATAGTTCCTGATATATTATAGCACTCAATAAATATTTATGAGATTAAATTGAAGGAAGACGAAACATAAGATTGAAGAAGTAGCCAGGGAAGAATGATTAAGATGTAGGTGGTAGGCAGAAAGGAAAAGGAGGGTTTCCTAGGCAGAGGGCATATACGAGGTTTACACTAGTGTTTCCTTTTATCGCTATATTTCTTTGTATCTTTTAAAATTCACATAATTATCTTAATTCCTCCCTCCAGAAAACTGTATAAGTTTATGGAACTCAACTTAAAAAAGTAAATCAAGTATTAAAAAGATATAGCCTTGTTCATAAACAAAAGCGATAACTGTAGATAACAAATAAAACAGAAAAAGGAAGAGATAAGTGGAGGGGTAAAGCCCTCCAGCTGAGCTTCAGTCTGGAACCAGGACAAGGAAGGACTAGAATCAGGGAGGGCTGGGAGTTCAGCATCTGTAGTTTACTAGGGATTACAAATGCTTGATATCAAGTGGGAATCTGAAGCTGGGCTCACTGCTTGAAATCAGGAGGTAATGTGGGTTTTTCTCAACTTGTCAAAGGAGGAAGAAAAAGGTTGGGACTAGAGTTGTGGCTTAGGGAGGCTGGAGAACACACACTCAGCTTTATGAACAGTAACTGAGCCAAATGTCACTAGCCTGGGGGCTTAGATCTTGGGTATCCCAGATAGCACTATGGAGCAGGAGCATAAACCCTTATAAATATTTGGTTGGACTGAGAGTCTAGGGAGGAGGGTGCTGAGTAGAGGCAACAGCAAAACCTTTAGATAAGGAGGAGTGAGGAGAGTGGGTTAGAAGGAGGGAGAGAAAGAGAAGACAGTCTCAAAAAAAGTAAGTATACATAAAGTTTTCACAGCACAAAGAAACTCAATGCTAGGTAAA